ACGTCTTCGGTGTTTGATGAGGGGCGGCGCTTGACTCGATGTGAATACAAATTAACCTTCAAAGTTCTGCTCGGCAGAATTACTTCAAACTCACCATGACTTTGGTGTTGTGTGTGTGTGTGACCTCCTGCCGGCGGGCGTTCGACACTTCACGTGGCCTTAAGGTGCACATGGCCTGGCACAAGCGTCGTGGTGACGTCACCGCCACTTAGTGGCGAATGGCGGTTGTTGTTGTGTGTGTGCGCGTGTGTGTGAAACACCTGCCCGGGCATTTTGTACCATCGGGCACTCCACCCCCACAACTCCCAATCGGTGATGGGGCAGTTGTGGAGAGAGTGGAGAGTTTCCCATACCTGGGCAGTGTGCTCATGACCGGCTCCGGTTTCACAGCAGAGATCTCACTCCAAATCAGTCGAGCGGCATTATCTTTTCGTTGGTTGTGTAACGCTGATGTTCCATTGAACGGGTCCACGTTTCACAAGTGTAATGAAAGGGTTATGTTGACATGACAAAGTGACACCAGCTGGCCTGGAAAGAGTTTCACGGCTACAGCCACAGGGGTAACAGCCAATCGGGGAAGGAGGCGTATCTGGGGCAAATGTAACAGGAGGGGCTCGCCGAGATGCTCCGGGAACCTGCTGGAACGTTCCACGAGAGGGCGTGGCCGGAGGCGGGGCTTAGCCTGGGGGGATATAAGGAGGAGCGGACACATGGCTCGGGGCGGGTGAGGGGTCCTGGGTCCTGGCTGTGTCGCTGTTCACCCACATTGCTCTCCATCGTCCAGCCACGTGGAAGATCTCCTGCGTTGGTTCCATCGCTGTCATCGTCACGCCGCCAGCCAGCGGCGGAGACGAGTGAGGGCGAGGGGACCTCGCCGAGTGATCGGCTGTGTGTGTAGCCAGTGGAGGTGTTATTGCCTCGAGTTGTATTCAGTGAAGAGGAAGAACCAGTGCTGGCCTGTGTTGTGCTCAGTGTGAGAAATAAAGAAGTACCCTCTATACGACGTGTCGTGGAAGTCGCTCATTACACAAGCAGAGAGAAGGGAGGGGGCATGACCGTGGCCGAGAAGACCCGAAGCTTCCACAAGGATTGATAGACCAGGCAGGTTCCACGCGGCAGCGTTACAAAGGCGAATAAAATGCCACCCAACTGATTCAGAGCGAGATTTCCGCTTTCAAATGCCTGAGTCCATGGCTCCATCTCGGGAGTGGCCGTTCCTCTGGGACACGTTTCAGATTGGATGAAGACTCTCAAACAATCTGGTGGCCAATGGTGAACAAAAAATAACCTTCAACCGTTGCTGGCTTCTTTTTGGTGATGTGGCACTTTCAGTTGGAGCAACAGGAAAACAAAGTTTTACATCCTGAAGAGGCGAACAGACGCGGCGTTTTATTCATAAAGAAATAAGTAGACATTTCAATTGTGTGAAACCAACTATAACTAAAGGGCGGTGAACGCTCCAAATCAACCGTCACGTGACACAAACGTTGAGATTATTTCTGCGAGAATGAAGGAATGGAAATGCTGTGAAATTCAAAGTGTAAATGACACAGGGTGCACGCCGTGAAACAATGGCTAGGAGATGTTGACTACCTCGCCTGGTATACAGGAGGTCGTGGGTTTGATCCAGACTCTGATGATGCCTGCTGCTGCTGTATATTTTGAGTTTGCGTGTCTCTCATCATAGTGGCTAGGAGATGCTGACTACCTCGCGTAGTATACAGGAGTTTGTGGGATCGATTTTCACCCTGACGCCTGCTGCTGTATATTTGGAGTTTGCGTCTCTCTCTCTCTCCGTGCTCCAGTGGATTTTTCTAGGGGTCCTCCGGGTTTTCTCTCCAAAATCAACGTCACGCTTTTAGACTCTTTATTTGGGACCCCGGGGTTCTGCCACAAGGTTCAGTTCAGGGGCTCTCCGACAAAATCGTCCACCGCTGAATTGTCACGTGGCTGCTTGTTACTGCACCCCCCCTCCCCCTTTGCATTTTTCCAATTCTCACGACGGATTGAGTTGCAGGTGAAAAAACATTGTGCGCACAAAAATTCCAAATGTTTGTTTATCAAATTAGTTTTTTTTTTACCGAGAATCTTCAATGAAAATGTCAACGCAAAGGCAACGATTACCCACGCCCCGTGCAGCCTGAACAGACTGTCGGGGTGAGTGCTGCGACTCGCGCACCTATAGAGGCCGGCACTGTGGCACCACCCCTGACCGACCGCCTTTGTCTCCCCGGCGGTGATGTTCACCACAGACCGCAGCAGCAGGCACACTCATTTGGGGCAGAGTGGACGTACGGGAGGCCCAGCACCGCTCCGGGGGGGAGGGGTAAAGAGAGGGGCAGGCTGGGTGGTGGAGGGCTGGCGAAGTGTGTGGGATTGCCCAGCGAGGCAATCAGCTGTGACCTCTAAGCGGTGCTGGAAGTGAAGGCTCCCATCCTGCTGCTGCTGCTGCTGCTCCTCCATGAGTGGGTGGGTGAGCGTGTCTCTGTGTGTGAATCTATGGGTCTCTGTGTGCATCTACGGGTCTCTGTGTGAATCTATGGGTCTCTGTGTGTGAATCTATGGGTCTCTGTGTGTGAATCTATGGGTCTCTGTGTGCGTCTACGGGTCTCTGTGTGTGAATCTATGGGTCTCTGTGTGTGAATCTATGGGTCTCTGTGTGTGTCTACGGGTCTCTGTGTGTGAATCTACGGGTCTCTGTGTGTGAATCTATGGGTCTCTGTGTTAATCTATGGGTCTCTGTGTGTGAATCTATGGGTCTCTGTGTGCGTCTACGGGTCTCTGTGTGTGAATCTATGGGTCTCTGTGTGTTAATCTATGGGTCTCTGTGTGAATCTACGGGTCTCTGTGTGCGTCTACGGGTCTCTGTGTGTGAATCTATGGGTCTCTGTGTGTTAATCTATGGGTCTCTGTGTGCGTCTACGGGTCTCTGTGTGTGAATCTATGGGTCTCTGTGTGCATCTACGGGTCTCTGTGTGTGAATCTATGGGTCTCTGTGTGCATCTACGGGTCTCTGTGTGAATCTATGGGTCTCTATGAATCTACGGGTCTCTGTGTGAATCTATGGGTCTCTATGAATCTATGGGTCTCTGTGTGAATCTATGGGTCTCTATGAATCTATGGGTCTCTGTGTGCGTCTACGGGTCTCTGTGTATGAATCTGCCCTCACTAAAGTCTCCTCTACCAGCCTCCCCCTCTCCTGCCTCTGGCTCTCCTGCCAGGCCACTTATGCTCGATGGCCTTCAGCCCCGACATCGTTCGCGCTACGGACGTCTGTCTCGCGAACTCGTCTCTCGGCGCTCCTCTCCCCTCCTCCACGGCCTCCTCGCAAAACCCCTGCCACATTTGTCTCTCTCTCCTGTCTGCCATCGCTCTCGCCTCCGCCTCTCCAAACCGCCCCCCCCGGCCTGCCTCCCCCCCCCTCTTTCCGCCGCGTCCCTCGCCACGTCCATCGGTCTCAGCATCACCGGCATGACGACCCTCCTGGCTCCCTCTTGCTCCCACCTGGCCCTCTCGTCTGGAGGTTGCCTCTCATGCCCCCCTCTGCCCCCCTGTGCCCCCCTCTCCTGCCCGGCTCTTGCCAGGTTGTCCCGTCTCTCCTCATCTCTCACGCTCAGAGCTGCTCTCCCTGCAGCTGCTCCCCTCTGGGCGGCTCGGTCTGCACCGTAGCCTCTCCGCTCATCGTCAAGCCTGTTCCAAGTTGGCTCTCTGCCTTGGCCTCTTCTTCCCTCCGCTCCTCTCCCCCCTCTCTCCATGGGAGTTCCTGGCTTGTCGTGCCGGCGATGCAACGCGCACACCTGTACCACCAACACCTGTACCACCAACACCTGTACCACCAACACAACGATCGGCACTATCGCCACACGTTCGTATTTACGTGATCCAACCCAAAAAAACTCAATGATGGATATTTGTTGTGAAAACCTACGTTGAAAACGTAGGTTTTCGCGACCAATATGATCCATATTACAGGTTTTTGTAAACCCTTCACCACGCGACACAGCCAATTAGTAACAGGGTTGGTCACGTAAACAGAACTTGCCAATTCGTTACTAGTACAGCACTAGTCACACACACTGGGTGCGTAGCGAGTGAGGATAGTGAGGGTGGTGAGTGAATGAGTGCAGGTAGCGAGTGAGTGTAGTGAATGCGTGAGGGTAGTGACTGAGTCAGTGAGGTAGCGAGTGAGTGTGAAGAGTGAGAGCGAGAAAATCACTCACGCTGAGTCTTCCTCAACGTTGTTCTGAGGTTCTGGGGAGTCCAGGCAGAGTCCTGATGAGAGAGAGAGATACAGGATTCAACACTCCCTGGCTCACACCATACTCATTTCTCACGCTCGCTCCAAACACAAAGACCCCCTCTATCGCCTGAACAGACTGCTGGGGTCAAGTGGCGTTGATAGCGAGTAGCAGTAGCAACCTGGCACTGTGGCACACGAGGGGGTGGGTGGCCAGGGCTAGCGATGTTCACTACACTACACCGCTACGCCAGGTACGCATTTGAGGCTGAGTCGACCTAGGGGAGTCCCAGGACCGGTTCAGATAATCGTCACGTACACACACGTACAGTTTAACACGCGCACACACACAGTTTATTGAACACGTGCACACACACAGTTTAACACGTTCACACACACACAAACAAATCCCCAATGTCTGTGTTCACTTTAATTATTTTTTTCAAGTAGAAACTTCAACTGAAAATGTCAATGCAAACACAACTATCCCCCCCCCCCCCATGTAGACTGTACCAGGTTGTAGGGGCAAGTGGTGTTAGTAGCGAGTAGCAGCACCTATGCAGGCATTGCCCTCGGGGGGCAGGGTCAAGGGTCAGGCACGGGGTCAAAGTCAGTAGCAGGGTCAAGGTCACGAACAGGGTAATATTCTTGGTTCTTTCGGTAAAGCCACGTAGAATGGAAATAATAAAATAATGAAAATATTCAACAATAAATAGTCCGAAGTGAGGGTGAAGAAGGGGGGGGGCGGATGTGGAGGGGGGGCCGGATGTGGGGGAGGAGCCGAAGGTGAGGGGGGAGGGGCAGAAAGATGGCGTCTTTGCCACGTGCATCTGCTAAGGCGTCTCCTCCACTCGCTGCGTCTTCTCCCAGCTGATCGTCTCCTGCGCTCCAGCAGAGGTCTGACCCCACCACCCTCCTCCTGCTGCTCTCTCTCTCTCTCTCTGCGCTCTGTCTCCCACGCAGCCGCTGCCGTCTTTGTCTCTCCTTGCTGCTGTGGCTGTGTGTGTGTGTGTGAGCGAACGCCTGAACGGCTAGAGAAGCGATGGAGTGATGTGGAGCTGAGTGGATCAGCCTCTGTGGAGCAGGAGGAGGAGGCTCGTGAAGGACGCTGCTACTACTGGGCAGTTGGAGGTATACTCTTAGGTTTTTTGTCGGTAAAATCACGTAGGTAAAAATAAAAATTAATAATAAAAATAATATTAATAGAAATAACAATATTGCCTCTGATACAGTCTATAACAAAGATACAGTCTATAATGTAGACTGTACACACAGGTACAGTCTATAATGTAGGGTGACTGACTGAGTGGGTGGGTGAGTGGGTAGTGGGTGTGTGAGTGACTGGGTGGGTGAGTGACTGGGTGAGTTGGTGGGTGAGTGCCTGAGTGAGTGGGTGGGAGATTGAGTGAGTGAGGGGATGAGTGGCTGAGTTGGTGAGTGAGTGACAGTGAGTGGGTGGGTGAGTTGGGTGGGTGGATGAGTGGGTGAGTTGATGGGTGAGTGAGTGGGTGAGTGACTGTTACATGGTTAATAATATATTTCCAATGATTAGTTTGTACCCATCATCACGGTAAAAGATTTAACTACACATATTTGTACCATCTTATTTGACAGGTACTATTCTAATTTACCGAGTGTTGACATCTCCCGCGTTTAACATTCAGATAAGCCCCTCCCCCCCTCCCCCTTGTATTTAAGAGCTTGTCACTTGGAATTTGCCTCACTTGATACAGTCAATTTAGCTGTGACGGTCCCACCTGACGACGGAGACTTGGGTTGCCTCCTAAAAGTCGTGATTTATTATTTTATTTCCATGATAATTTTTTATAATTTATTAATATTTTTACCTACGTGACTTTACCGAAATAACCTAAGAGTATGAATCCTTGCAATCACGAAAGCTTCAAATCTAGAATCAGTTGGAGGCAGTCGCCCTCCAGCAACAACGGAGGGCAGAGGAGCGACGCTCACAACAACGAGCGGAGCGCCGGGCGTTTAAAGCGCAGCGAGTATTCACAGTAGGGGGCACAGTTGTTGCATCGGCCAGCCATCTGTCAGCCAACCCATGGTAGGTGCCTTGGGTTGACTGCCGAATGGCTGTTGTTGTTGTGTGAGCGTGTGGACACAACGCTGAGCGAACTCAACTTACGTTACCAAGGTTAGGTTCCAGAGGTACCGTTTGTAAGTCCAACTTGACTTCTGTCGATCCAAACGTGGTGTATGGCATGTACACCAAACACAGATGCAGATGCCACTGGTTCTTCACGTTCTGCAGATATAGATGCCACTGGTTCTTCACGTTCTGTAAATGTAGATGCCATTGGTTCTTCACGTTCTACAGACGTAGAATTCACTGGTTCTTCACGTTCTGCAGATGTAGATGCCACTGGTTCTTCACGTTCTGTACATGTAGATGCCACTGGTTCTTCACGTTCTGTAGATGTAGATGCCACTGGTTCTTCACGTTATGTAGATGTAGATGCCACTGGTTCTTCACGTTCTGTAAATGTAGATGCCATTGGTTCTTCATGTTCTGTAGATGTAGATGCCACTGGTTCTTCACCTTCTGCAGATGTAGATGCCACTGGTTCTTCACGTTCTGCAGATGTAGATGCCACCAGGGGCGGTTTCTTTATTAGGCCGATTGGGCGACGCACCACCAATCTCATTCAACCACAGAGTCACGCGAGCCGTCACTGTGCCTCTGGATATAGTCCAATCAGCGTCATGCTATGTTCTGTGGAGTACCGCCTCTTTTTGGGCGATTTCCCTCCAGCTGACAATCGCCCCGAGTGGTCCCATAGACTTACATTCAAAGATGTTTTTTTTCGAACGGGGGCGCTGCAATGCATTCTCTATGGCTTCAGGGAGGGCTCGCCCTAACGTGCTTACGTCATCATACGTGCTTACGTCATCATACGTAAGCACGTTTCATCCAACAATATAATTTGTCGCCACCTAGTGGAATCTTTAATAAAAGAAACTTGAGTGGTTTGTTTTAATAGTGAGTATAGAAACAAACAAGATGTATTGTAAGAGTCACTTTATTTTTCATTAATATTAAAGAAGTGAAGTTGCCTTTACATGCTTAAGCTGTTAATTTATCCATTGCATGGGTGGACCTTATCCTTATCAATCATCCAGACATTTGCCCCCCCTGAGAGATTTTGCAGGAGCCGCCACTGGATGCCACTGGTTCTTCACGTTCTGTAGATGTAGATGTCATTGGTTCTTCACGTTCTGTAGATGTAGATGCCATTGGTTCTTCACGTTCTGCAGATGTAGATGCCACTGGCTCTTCACGTTCTGTAAATGTAGATGCCATTGGTTCTTCACGTTGTGCAGATGTAGATGCCACTGGTTCTTCACGTTCTGCAGATGTAGATGCCACTGGTTCTTCACGTTGTGCAGATGTAGATGCCACTGGTTCTTCACGTTCTGTAGATGTAGATGCCATTGGTTCTTCACGTTCTGCAGATGTCGATGCCACTGGTTCTTCACGTTCTGTAAATGTAGATGCCATTGGTTCTTCACGTTCTGTAGATGTAGATGCCACTGGTTCTTCACGTTCTACAGATGTAGATGCCACTGGTTCTTCACGTTCTACATATGTAGATGCCACTGGTTCTTCACATTCTACAGATGTAGATGCCACTGGTTCTTCACGTTTTGTAGATGTAGATGCCACTGGTTCTTCACGTTCTGTAGATGTAGATGCCACTGGTTGTTTGCGTTCTGCAGATGTAGATGCCATTGGTTCTTCACGTTCTGCAGATGTAGATGCCACTGGTTCTTCACGTTCTGTAGATGTAGATGCCACTGGTTCTTTACGTTCTGTAGATGTAGATGCCACTGGTTCTTCACGTTTTATAGATGTGGATGCCACCACTGTCATCTATTGTGCGTGGAGGTTGAACTTACGACTCTCGTTCCAAACGGGCAACTGGACAAATGGGACAGGTTATTTGATCATCTCTCAAAGTCCTGAAGTTGAATGTTTCTAAGTGACGCTAGTTGCCCGTACAAACTCGAACGTTTCCCCGCAGCAGCGTCTTTGCATCTGAGTGGCGTTCACGATGAGCTGGGGCTACCTGACACAGCTGCTGGAGGAGGTTCACCGACACTCCACATTCCTGAGCAAGCTGTGGATCACCACCTTCCTCATCTTCCGCATCGTTCTCACGACGGTGGCCGGCGAGTCGATCTACTACGACGAGCAAGGCCGCTTCACGTGCAATACGGCGCAGCCCGGCTGCGAGAACGTTTGCTACGACAGCTTCGCGCCACTATCGCACGTCCGCTTCTGGGTGTTCCAGATCATCGCCGTCGCCACGCCCACCATCCTGTACCTCGGCTTCGCTGTGCATCGCATCACCAGGTACACACGTCCCCGGAGGGAGTGTTTCACAGCGGGGGGGGGGGGAATTTGGATTCTAGACACACGCAGACACACGCAGACACACGCACACACAGACACACGCAGACACACGCACACACAGACACACGCACGCGCACGCAGACACACACACAGACACACGCGGACACATGCACAGACACACACAGACACACGCAGACGGGGCCACACGCAGACACACACAGACACACGCAGACACACACAGACACACGCAGACACACACGCAGACACACACGCACACAGACACACGCAGACACACACAGACACACGCAGACACACACAGACACACGCAGACACACACAGACACATGCAGACACACGCAGACACACGCAGACACACACGCAGACACACACGCAGACACACACAGACACACGCAGACACACATAGACACACGCAGACACACACAGACACACGCAGACACACACAGACACACGCAGACACACACGCAGACACACACACAGACACACGCACACGGGGCCACACGCGCACAAAGACAAAAGTCCCCCGCGTAGTCTCCAAAGGCCGTCGGGATAAGTGCTTCTCGCGAGCGGCGCTTCAAAGCCCACGAGGGGGTCTGTGGCCAGAGCCACGCCGGCTGCGTTTGCCTCCCCGGTTGGCGAAGTTCTTGCACGTCGCACCAGGTGCTCACTTGACACTTCAAGCGTCTCTCAGAGGCGACGATCGGGAGTGGGATCCCGGACAGCCCCCGTGTCCGTCTCTGTTGGTCGTCGTGATGTCGCGTTTTGCAGCGAGCGAGCACTTTCACTCGCCCACGACGCTTCACACCGAGCGGTGGGACTTGAACGGCGCCGCCGCCGCCGCTCTCTGCCGTGGTCAGGATCGAGCTAAAGCGAGACCAACGGAACAAGCGGGCCAAGCGAGTCGACCGTGCGGTTGAATGCACGGAGGAGGTGGAGGTGGAGGAGGAGGAGGTGGAGGAGGAGGAGGAGGTGGATGTGGAGGAGGAGGAGGAGGAGGGTGAAGAAGAGAGCAAGCGGGAGCCTTGGCAACACAACGAGCGTTGGAGGATCAAGTCTGACGGGCTGATGGCGGCCTACACCCTCCAGCTGCTGGCGCGTACGTTGGCCGAGATGGGCTTCCTGGCAGGCCAGTACCTGCTCTACGGCTTTGAGGTGGCCCCACGCTTCGAGTGCGTCCGCCACCCCTGCCCACATCGCGTGGATTGCTTCGTGTCTCGCCCCACGGAGAAGACCATCTTCCTCCTGCTCATGTACGCCATCGCCGCCCTCAGCCTCCTGCTGGAGTTGTCCGAGATCTGCTACCTGGGGCTGGGCGCCTTCCACGACTTGCTGAGCGGGAGCAGGTGGGGGGAGGGGCACGCGGGGGGGGGGCACGCGGGGGGGGGGGGGCCCGCGGGGGGGGGGGGGCGCGAACGACGCCTTGTCGGAGGTTGATAATAGTTTTTTCACCGATGGGTTCATGCTTCAGCCACCGTCGTGTTGCAGAGCAAATGCACCGGTCTGTCTGCTGTCCGCCTGATGATGCTGGTTGTGATCACTGGACGAAGCGTCGTACTCAGATTGTAGATCGTTGAAACCTCATTTGCCAGTAAAAAATATGATAATTGGTTTTTTACCCTTCTGTCTGGCAACAAAACTGACACCTTTTTTACAAGGAGTCATGTTTGCATAGACCACAATACCTGCGGTCGGAATGCAAACAAAAAACACAACTCTGATAATGTATGCACTGTCCTTGAAGTCGATTGATCTACACCCGAGACAGCTTTCCTTAGAGCCTAGTCTCACATGGTGTTGAACCAGATGATGCCAAAAGGCGCACAACTCAAAGACAACGCACCATCAGAGTATGAGAGCTCGGGGTGAAGCATTTACACCATTGGAACCTCATTTGCCAGTAAAAAATATGATAATTGGTGTCAGTTTTGTTGCCAGATAGAAGGGTAAAAAACCAATGATCATATTTTTTACTGCCAAATGAGGTTCCAATGGTTGTCGGAGGTCGTCGGCTTCGGTGTTGGGTCGTGCGAGTGGCCGAAACGTCGTGAGAATTGTTTTATTATGTTTAATTTTTATTGCTTTATTACTTCCCTTCTACGTGACTTTACCAAAAATATCGTGACAAAATATAAGAATAGGTTTCAGCAGCTGCGTTAGCATGATAACGCCACACGGAAACCTCCCGCAAGGAATCATCTCACTGCATTGGCCACACACACGGTACGTGTGATGAACATGCAGAGAGATAAAACACGCTCTGGTAGTATATGACGATGATGACGATGACGACGATGAATTGACTTTGAAACTGATTGGTCCCCACCAGAGACCGCTTTGTCTAGAGGCTGGTGAGTCTCACCCCGAGCTGTGAAGGTGCTGGCAGTGAAAGTGTCCTCTCATCCAACAGCGTCAGTGAGACCAGCCTCTAGAGAAAGCGGCGCTCTCTGGTGGGGACCAATCAGTCACAAAGCGTCGTCGTCATTGACTACCAGAGCGTGGTCCTGTCGGCATGTTCACCACACGTACCGCATATGTGTGTGTGGTCGATGCAGGGAGATGATTCCTTGCAAAAGGTTTCTGTTCGGTGTGTGGGACAGATATGTAGTAGTGTAGTGTATAGTGTAGTGTATAGTAGTGTAGTGTATAGTGTAGTGTAGTAGTGTAGTGTATAGTGTAGTGTATTTGTTCACAGCTATCTATATAAATGTTATGTGTAGTGTATAGTGTTGTGTATAGTGTAGTGTATAGTGTAGTGTATAGTAGTGTATAGTAGTGTATAGTAGTGTATAGTAGTGTATAGTGTAGTGTATAGTAGTGTATAGTAGTGTATAGTGTAGTGTATAGTAGTGTATAGTGTAGTGTATAGTAGTGTATAGTGTAGTGTATAGTGTAGTGTATAGTAGTGTATAGTGTAGTGTGTTGCCAGCGATGTATATAGTGTTTTGTATAGTGTAGTGTATGTGTTCACAGCTGTCTATATAGATGTGTGTGTAGTGTATAGTGTAGTGTATAGTGTAGTGTATAGTGTAGTGTATGTGTTCACAGCTATCTATATAGATGTTGTGTATAGTGTAGTGTATAGTGTAGTGTAATGTGTTCACAGCTGTGTATATAGACGTGTGTGTGTGTGTGACGTAGGTCCGCGGAGGGCAAGCAGGCGGCCCTCACGACGCTGGAGGCTTCCCGGGTGAAGGTGGCCCAGGGCAGCCAGCGCGTGTCGCCGGTGCCCCCCCTCCCCGCCCCCCCCCCGGGGTACCACTCGCTGGTGGGCGCCGCCCCGGACGGGAACGGCGCCGGGTGAGTTTCACGAGGAGCGCTCACATCGCTCCTCACGCGTCACGGCGATAACTACTATCATTCATCATCGTCGTTGTCGAGGTTTTTGGGTTTAGATCGCATTAGCCACTATACACTGCACTGTACACTATACACTACTATACACTACACTACACTATACACTACACTATACTACACTATACACTACTATACACTACACTATACACTACACTACTATACACTACACTTTACACTACACTATACACTAGACACTACACTACACACTGCACTACACACTACACTACTATACACTACACTATACACTACACTATACACTACTTTACACTACACTATACACTACTATACACTACACTATACACTACACTACTATACACTACACTATACACTACACTATACACTAGACACTACACTACACACTGCACTACACACTACACTACTATACACTACACTATACACTACACTATACACTACACTACACACGCAATATAACCCAGACAAACCCTCTATCGTGTGCAGTGTATTCACATATTGTTGTCAATGAAAACTCTTGAAATTCAACTCGTTTTCTAGGGTGGCGGCTCCGGGCGAGCCGGCGCCCCCGGCAGCCCCGGCACCAGCACCAGCAGCAGTAGCAGCAGCAGGAGCAGCACCAGCAGCAGCAGCAGCGGCAGTGGTGGCGATGTCGCCGCGTGAATTGTGTCAGCTGCGTGAGGAGCTGCGGGAACTCCAGACGGAGTTGGGGCTGACGCTGAGGCCGCCCCCCCGCCGCCAGGAGGCCCCCGGACAGGCCGCTGGTGACGTCGCCGCTGGTGACGCCGCTGGTGACGCCGCTGGTGACGCCGCTGGTGACGTCGCCGCTGGTGACGCCGCTGGTGACGCCGCTGGTGACGCCGCTGGTGACGTCGCTGGTGACGTCGCCACCGCCGCCCCTCGCACGGTGTGGCTCTAGCGCCAGAGCCAGTTTCACTCTCCGCCCGCTACAACCCTCCCCCCCCCCCCCCCCCGATGCGCCGCCCCCGTTGTGATCGTCTTTTTTTTGTCGACGTTCTCTGTCGAGATTCAAGCGGCAGGCGGCCGCCACGCTGAGCCACGTGACGTGACGGGGAGGGGGGGGGTGGGGGGCACGTCGTTGACCCACGCGATGTGGGGGGGGGGGGGTGGGGGGCACGCCGTTGACCCACGCGACGGTGTGGGGGGGTGGGGGGGGGCAGCCCGGCACCCAGCCTCGTAGCTGGGGGGATTCAGCTCTGCTCTGGGTTTGTAACCCAGCGGAGCGTTGAGAGTTCAAGTCTCCTTAGAACGCGTTCTTTGTGGCATCGTGGCTTATCGCATTGGGCCGACGTATAAATGTACGAGTCGGGGGGGGGAGGGGGATGTTTGATTAAAGCAACGCAAATCTTTTCGTTACTTTAGCTTCTTAATTTGCGTGAGTTTCTGTTTCAATTTTTTCGTTAAACCTTCTCCCATCGCTGGTTGAGAGGCGTTGGGTTTAGCGTTGCGCACGTCGTTATGAGGGCGTGACAGCCCGCTGCGGTTTACATTGACAAAGCAAAAGGCATTTCAGATGTTGGCTATGCGGTTTGGGAACAGCTGTGGGCAAATGTGAACAGCAGGTGACACGGTGTTGTTGTGTTTATTGTTTTTCTGAATCTTTAATTTTTTTTATTGGGAAATGGAAATGATGCTTGTGTGTTTCATGTTAATTTATGCTAATTGAGTAACTGTCATGTGATCAATCGCACGTGTGATTACAATAGGAACGTCCTTAAACGATTTTTACTTCATACGGAACCGCGCTGTAGAAACGTGAGCCCAATGGCAAAAATGGACCTCAAATTGATTGGTAAGATTGTGCAATTAAAGAAATTTCCCGAAACAACGGTGTACCTGTGAGTGTGTGTAGCTTTGTCTAATAAATGCTTATCAATTGGCAAGTACAGTGAGGGAAAAAAGTATTTGATCCCCTGCTTATTTTGTACGTTTGCCCACTGACAAAGAAATGATGAGTCTATAATTTTAATTGTAGGTTTATTTTAACAGTAAAAGACAAAATAACAACAACAAAATCCAGAAAAACGCATGTCAAAAATGTTAAATTACGATTTAAAGCTTTCGTGACTGCAGGGATTCATCTTCTTGGTTCTTTCGGTAAAGTCATCACGTAGAAGGGAAATAATAAAATAATAAAAACAGGTGAGGACGGCTGCTTGTGTTGTGGCCGAAACGTCGTGAGAATTAATTTATGTTTTGTTTTTATTATTTTATTACTTCCCTTCTACGTGACTTTACCGAAAGAACCAAGAAGGTCAAAAATGTTATAAATTGATTTGCATTTTAATGAAATAGACAGGCGCAGTAGGTCGAGATAGAACCCACGACCTCCTGTAGACCAGACGAGGTAGTCAACATCTCATAGCCACCGTGTTGATAAGAGAAAGTGAGAGAGACACAGACTCCAAGTATACGGCAGCAGCTGTCAAAATCGGGATCGAACCCACGACCTGTAGACCAGACGAGGTAGTTAACATCTCACAGCCACCGTGGTGATGATGATGATGAGAGAGAGACACAGACTCCAAGTATACGGCAGCAGCTGTCAGAATCGGGATCGAACCCACGACCTCCTGTAGACCAGGCGAGGTAGTTAACATCTCACAGCCACCGTGGTGATGATGATGATGAGAGAGAGACACAGACTCCAAGTATACGGCAGCAGCTGTCAGAATCGGGATCGAACCCACGACCTCCTATGGAGCTGCACGGATCCCTCCAGTGCAGACAAGTTTCTGATGGATGTGAAAGTGACGTGACCCTGTCAGCTCCACGCGGCACGGCCAACGGGAGACGTTTGTCACTCGAACGGTCGCTCAGTGACTGCCTCTGGTGGTCATCGCCAAGCGGGACGCCCAACTCCACAGTCGGCGTTGTGGGTTTGCTCTATAAGAACGCAATTGCTTTGCGCTAAAGTAGTAACGAATTTAAACTAAACTATTTAACCTTCTTGGTTCTTTCGGTAAAGTCACGTAGAAGGGAAGTAATAAATTGTAAAAATAAAACATAAATGTATTGGGTTATATATTTATTATTTTACTAGCGGAAGTACCCGGCTTTGCCCGGGTAAAAAATATATTTCTTAAAAACCTTACATATATATACACAGATACTAAGGTATTGTCAAAGCCCGGTGGGCTGTTTGTAAATTTCTCCACCAACAAATATATAAGAGGCTTTCACAAGTCCAAAAAGTTGTAGAAAGTGTGGGGTAAATAGTTGATGTCAAAATGTTTCCGAAAATTGCGGTCTCCCCCCCCCCCCCCCCTCAAAAAATATCTTTACCCCTCGTAGGTATATATACTAACAACACCTTACATACAACAGAGGAAGTGGTATCTATTGACTCTGTAGTAGTATCTACTGACTGTACCGTAGTATCTACTGAGCCATGTGTAGCTACTGACTGTGTAGTAGTATTTAGTGACTGTAATAACTACTGACCATTGTAGTATTTACTGGGCCTACAGTAGTATCTACCGACTATATACTCGTAACGACTAACTGTATAGTATCTGCTGACTCTATAGTGTATCCACTGACTATAGTAGTAACTACAAAATCTATAGCAGTATCTACTCACTCTATAATAGTATCTACCGACTCTAGTAGCTACTCACCGTAGCAGTATGTACTGACTGTAGTGGTATATACTGACTGTTTTAGTATTTACTATAGCGGTATCTACCAACTCGATAGCAGTATCTACTATCACTACAGCAGTGTATACCGACTGAGGTCGTACCTGCTATCACTACAGCAGTGCATACTGCTGTGTTGGTACCTGCTATGATGACAGCAGTGCATACTGACTGTGGTGGTACCTGCTATGATTACAGCAGTGCATACTGCTGTGGTGGTATCTGCTATGATAGGAGTACATATTGTGGTGGTGGTACCTGGTATGATAACAGCAGTGCATATTGACTGTACTCATTCACCCTCACCATTCACCACTCACAACTCACCCTTACCACTCATCCTCACCACTCACCCTCACCACTCACCAATCACCACTCACCCTCACCACTCACTCTCACCACTAACCCTCACCACTAACCCTCACCACTCTCACTCACCACTCTCCCTCACCACTCACCACTCACTCTCACCATTCACCCTCACTAATCACCACTAACAACCGCCACTCACCCTCCCCACTCACCCTCACCACTCACCCTCACCAATCACCACTCACCCTCACCCCTCACCACTCTCCCTCACCACTCTCCCTCACCACTCTCCCTCACCAGTCACGCTCACCACTCACGCTCACCCCTCACCCTCACTACTCACCCTAACCACTCTCCCCTCACCACTCTCCCTCACCACTCTCCCTCACCAGTCACGCTCACCACTCACCACTCACGCTCACCCTCACTACTCACCCTAACCACTCACCACTCACCCTCAACACTCACCCTCACCGCTCACCACTCACCCTCACCACTCACCCTGACCACTCACCACTCATCCTCACCAATCACAACCCTCACCAATCACCACTCACCCTCACTGCTCACCCTCACTGCTCACCCTCACCACTCACCCTAACCACTCACGCTCACCCTCACCACTCACCCCTCACTAATCACCATTCACAACCGCCACTCACCCTCACCACTCACCACTCACCCTCACCACTCACCCTCACTACTCACCACTCATCCTCACCAATCACACCCTCAACAATCACCACTCACCCTCACCACTCACGCTCAACACTCACCCTCACCACTCATGCTCACCACTAACCCTCACCACTCACCCCTCACTAATCACCACTACCAACCGCCACTCACCCTCCCCACTCACCCTCATTAATCACCACTCACCCTCACCACTCAACCTCACCCTCACCACTCACCCACACCACCACCACTCTCCCCCTCACCACTCTCCCCCCTCACCACTCTCCCCCCTCACCACTCTCCCCCTCACCACTCTCCCCCCCTCACAACTCTCCCTCTCACCACTCTCCCCCTCACCACTCTCCCCCTCACCACTCTCCCCCCTCACTACTCTCCCCCTCACCACTCTCCCTCCCTCTCCCCCTCACCACTCTCTCCCTCACCACTCTCCCTCACCACTCTCCCCGCTCACCACTCTCCCCCTCACCACTCTCTCCCTCACCACTCTCTCCCTCCCACTCTCCCCGCTCCCACTCTCCCCCTCACCACTATCTCCCTCACCACTCTCCCCCTCACCACTCTCCCCCTCACCACTCTCCCCCTCACCACTCTCTCCCTCACCACTCTCTCCCTCACCACTCTCTCCCTCACCACTCTCCCCCTCACCACTCTCCCCCCTCACCACTCTCCCCCTCACCACTCTCTCCCTCACCACTCTCTCCCTCACCACTCTCCCTCCCCCTCACCACTCTCCCCCTCACCACTCTCCCCCTCACCACTCTCCCCCTCACCACTCTCTCCCCTCACCACTCTCTCCCTCACCACTCTCCCCCTCACCACTCTCTCCCTCACCACTCTCTCCCTCACCACTCTCTCCCTCACCACTCTCCCCCTCACCACTCTCCCCCTCACCACTCTCCCCCTCACCACTCTCCCCCTCACCACTCTCCCCCTCACCACTCCTCTCCCTCACCACTCTCCCCTCACCACTCTCCCCCTCACCACTCACTCTCTCCCTCACCACTCTCCCCCTCACCACTCTTCCCCCTCACCACTCTCCCCCTCACCACTCACTCTCTCCCTCACCACTCTCTCCCTCACCACTCTCCTCCCCTCACCACTCTCCCCCTCACCACTCTCTCCCCTCACCACTCTCTCCCTCACCACTCTCCCCCTCACCACTCTCCCCCTCACCACTCTCTCCCTCACCACTCTCCTCCCTCACCACTCTCTCCCTCACCACTCTCCCCCTCACCACTCTCTCCCCTCACCACTCTCCCCTCCCTCTCCCCTCACCACTCTCCCCCTCACCACTCTCCCCTCACCACTCTCCCCTCACCACTCTCTCCCATCACCACTCTCTCCCTCACCACTCTCTCCCTCACCACTCTCTCCCCTCACCACTCTCCCCCTCACCA